ATTGAATATAAAGTCAGGATTGAAATTTGGCAAAGCAAGAGCAGGCAAGGACAGTGAGTGTATTTGCAAGAAGTGCTGATAATGATGGCTCATGGATTCCAGGCTGTGTAAAGACAGAAATGAAGGCAGGAGGGGGTGAGGGATAATAATAATATGTCAGAATCAATGGATTGTGGCCCCCGTGGGGTCAAATAATTATTGGATTTGGGATATTAGAGGGAGTTCGTTGACAGATAGAGCTAGACGTCTGCAAGTGAGGTTCCTGAGATTTATTGGAGGCTGGATGAGTAGGGGAGACATAATGCTATTATTGGTAATGACAGTGGACATAACCATGGGAGTTGCTAAGCTGGAGTGGAAGCAAAAGTTATAGAAAGAAATGAAAACTTGGCAGTGAAGTACTGGAAGGATCATTTGGATAGACTGTGAAGTCACTAAGAGCTTAAATTAAAACTTAACTTAAAAATGAAGTTTCTTTATCTTTGAGTTCCTCAAATATGAGGGTAAGACTCCTCAAAAAGATCCAGAATTTATTTGTAGAAAATTGTGTATTTATTCTTGCATGTTTCAACTTCAGCCACTGTCAAAGTACTCTCCATTTGATGCAATACACCTATCAAGACACTTTTTTCCACTGCTCAAAATAGTTTTTGAACCTGTCCATTTTATTGCCTTTCAGTGCTTCTGCCATTTTTTGCGTCACCTCTTTCACATTGGCAAACCTTTTCCCTTTGAGGACTATTTTCATCAGGGAAACAAAAAAAAGTTGCTAAGGTGCGATTGGGTGACTAGGGAGCTGGGGCACAGGGATTATGCCATTTTGGGTCAAAAACTGCTGAATACCCAGTATGTATGGGCAGGTTGTTCATGTAAATCACCCATCGTGAAATTGGCAAATGTGTTGAAAGAATCTCCCCCCCGAAATTACCTGAAGCCAAATGCAGCGTCTCACAACAATGTTACTGGTACACTGATGCTGATGGGTTCCTAGAACACTCACCTAGCGGGGCAAGCCTGTACTGTAAAGGGCCCACCCTCCAAAAGTTAATTCCAGGATTTTGGGGGGGGGCCCCCCTCTCTTATATACACTTTCATCTATCTTTTAAAAAGCAAATGAAACAACACCATGAAAAAACAAACAAAATAATTAAGTTGGGCCAGGCCGAGGTGGGCAGATTGTCAGAGCTCAGGAACTGGAGACCAGCCTGGGCAACATACCGAAACCTCGTCTCCACCAAAAAAAAAAAAAAAAAAAAAAAAAAGCTGGACATTGTAGTGTGTGCCTGTAGTCCCAGCTACGTAAGATGCTGAGGTGGAAGGTCCAGCCTGGGCGACAGAGTGAGACCTGGACTCAAAATAATAATTAAATTGATTAACAAAAATTTTTGCAATATTTCTCAGTTTATTTTGAGGGTAGATGTTGTTGATCCTGAATTGTAAGTTGGTTTCTTAGCTCCATGAGACTTAAAACAATGTTTCTGCAATCATTATGGGTTAAAGAAGAAGAAAAGTCAGTTGTGTTAGATCTGCAAAATGTTTTTGGTTCTAGTTTGGTATTCAGAAGTGCTAGAGAATCTTTGGCAGAAAACCAGAGCCATAGAGTAAGCCCAAACTAGGACAGCAAAGTCATTATTTTGCTTTTTAATGAAGAAAGTCTTTTTTAAATGGTGGTGACTCCTGAAACTTTACAAAAAGTACTTATTGGGGCTTCATTTGGATGCAGGGCTATATCAAAGTAATTAGGAAAAGGAAGGTTGAATATTGAATGTGACTTCTAAAAAATTATAACATTTTGTGATACATAAAATAGCTATGTTAAATTAAACTACATTGACATCATTATATAGATAAAAATAAGGAGATTGAGTAAATGTAATATCTATTGTCACACATTACTGTATAGTAGAACCTCAGAGCATAATTTATTTGAATGCTGCTACACAGTGTGGACATTTATGTTGGTGCTGATGCTAGCTTTAATTTAGAATATTTTCCTTGTGTTTCTAAGTTAGTAAAATAATATCACTTGAAACAATTTACAAAGTTAAAAAGGAATGCCTGCAGGAGACAGAAAATAAGAGCTTTCTTGAGTTTAAATATGAGATAAGGTTTAAATTAGAGCACACCATATACAGAGTTTTATTTCACAGAAGCTGGTAAGAATGCATGTGTTGGAAAAGGGAATGAGAGGATAATTTTTCTTTTTTCTTTTTTTTTTTTTGAGTTGGAGTCTCACTCCGTCGCCCAGACTGGAATGCAGTGGCACGCTCCCGGTCACCGCAGCCTGGACCTGCTAGGCTCCAGCGATCCTTCCGCTCAGCCTTCCAAGTAGCTGGAACTACAGGCGTGAGCTACCACGCCTGGCTAATTTTTGATTTGTTGTAGCGATAAGGTCTCACCAAGTTGTCTGGGTGGGTCTCAAACCCGCAGGCTCAGGCAATCCACTCACCTTGGCCTCCCAAAGTGCTGGGATTACAGGCTGAGCCCGGCCAAGAGGATAATTAAGACAAGGAAATGAAGTTAATAGAGAAGTAATAAAGTGGCTGTTTGATGACTTAATGTTCTTCTTTATTTCTAATTCATAGATGGTTTTAGTGTACTACCTATTTTCACTTCTTTTATCTGTCTTACTCCTTTTCTTTGACCTTTTCCATAGCCCAAAGTATTTGCTGGGGCAGAGCAGGAGGATATTTGAGACTACCTTTGACAATGTAAAATTTCATGACTTTGATTCTTATATTTTAATTTAAGAACTTTCTACTTTATATTGTAGTGGTTAAAATCATTCCTCATTTTCCAGCCATCTCTCTCATGTTTCTGGATTTGTTTTGATCACTGATGGTGTGAGCACCTAGGAAAGACTGAATGACTTTTTATCAGAAATGTTATCAACAGAGTTTAAGCACTGAATGTGTGTTTGGCAATTTCTAATTTTGAGATTGTAACTACATCCTTTCACCAAAGCTCTCCAGTAGCCAACACGTTTTTGTTTTTTTTTTTCTGCCTTATATTTCTCTCCTGGTGAAAGAAATGCATCATTTTTAATAATTATTCACAGCAGTTACTCATTTGGATACTTAGGATATAACACTAGAGGTGACTTTGGGATAATTTGACCCCATCCCATTTTGGTTGCTAGCCGGCTATGGGCAAATCACTTAAACATTTTGAGTATCCGTTTCCATAATTATAAAATGAGGGGTCTGGGACCTCTCTTTACTAACGATCATTAATTACTAAACTTACCAAATAATGGTGTGTTATAGTAAAATTAAAATGAGATAATTGGGAGTGAAAACATTGGGTGAATATCTTAATTTTGGAAGCTGTTTTATGCATTATTAAAATGCCCTCTCAAGGTTTTATAGGTGACATCTGGTAATATATGTGACAGCTTTGTAAATTCCAAAGTACTATACAAATAAAATGATTAATCAGCAATTAAGTACCTTTTATGTGATAAGCTATCAGGAGACGTTCACTTTGTTCCCTTTTCTAGTTTAAACACTTATTGTGGTTGAATCTCATAAAAATACTACATCATTTTGAATAAACGGAGCTGTTCAATTGATTGTTTAGAAACTGGTATATAACAATGAAATAATCTACTTTGTTATCTGATGTTGTCTCTGTATTCAGAGTAATGAGCTTAACGTAATTGATATTCTTTTGCGTCTTCAAAATTGATGTTAATATTGGGTTCTACTTAAAACATTAACATCAAATATCTAGTTCTGCAAAATATCTAGTAAAATAGCAATTTAAAACGAACATTTCTTCACTGAATTAGTTTTAACTGTTCAGGCATGAATCTTGTTTGGCTCTCTTCCTCTAGTTACTTTGCTTTTTTACTATTTACATGAATGTGGCCAAAATTCATTTGGCTTTTAGTCTTTAGAGTTTGTGATATTTACACTGTTCCTTAACATGTTACAATTATTATGTCTAGTTGAAAACCCAGATGTATTATTCAATGGATTAAATAAAGTTTACCTTAAAAATAAAAAATACTGCTTTTGTATTTTAAATATGCTAACATTAAATTCATATTTGACATGAATTCTTACTTGGAATTTGTGGATTTCCTGTTTGAGGTAAAAAGAAAACATTTACAATGTGGCTATATAATATAACATTTAATTTTCCATTTTGAGACTTTTATCTTTTAAAGATGCAGGTGCACTTTGTCTTATTGTGCTCTGACTTACTGTGTTTTGCAGATATTTTATTACTACAGATTCAAAGTTGTTCGTAACCCTATGTTGAGCAAGTCTATTGGTGCCATTTTTTCCAACAGCATGTGCTTACTTCACGTCTCTCTGTCACATTTTGGTAATTCTTGCAATATTTCCATCTTTTGCATTATCATTATATCTATTGTGGCGATTTGTGCTCCATGATCTTTGATGATACTGTTATAATTGTTTTGGGGTGACATGAACTGTGCCCGTGTAAGATGGTGTGCTCTGTCAGTGAATGTTGTGTATGCTCTGTCTGCTCTACTGACGCTACTGACTCCCCATCTTTCCTTCTCATTGATTGCCTCCTATGGTGCCAAACTTGGTGCTAAGGCCTTGGAAGTTCAGCGTTGAATAGAACATGGCTCTTCCTCTTAATATATCAGGGCAAGTGAATAAAACAGTAGTTTTAGGGAGCCTTGGGGACCTAAAGAAAGACCATTATCCTAGCCTCCGAGTTTGGGACCATTTTCTGGAGGACATAATGCCTGAATGAAATTCAAAGGGAGAATAAGACTTAACTGCAAATGGTGACCCGTGGAGAGTGTTGCAAGCAGGGAAGCATGTGGGTAAAAGCATTCAGCCATCAAGTAGCAGGAGTTCTGCTCAGGAACTTACTTCTAGGTCTTAGAGTGTGAGGTAGGTAGAGACCGGCAGAAGAGCCTAGGTTTCTCCTTTTAAACTTTGTTGCTGAAGCTGTTTAAAGTATATGCGAATCAAATTTAGACTTCTAAAATGCATTTTTGTTTTCTTTTTTAGGATCAGTTCGACAGCTTAGACAAGCATACACAATGGGGAATTGACTTCTTGGAAAGATATGCCAAATTTGTTAAAGAGAGGATAGAAATTGAACAGAACTACGCGAAACAATTGAGGTAAGTTAAATTTTTTTCAGTTCTTAGAAATGAAGTTGCGTGTTTAAAAAGTTGAATATTAGATAAATGTGGCATTCCAGAGGTTAAATTCTATAGCTTTTATTTTTTTCTTTTGAGTCAGTGTCTCACTGTATCACCCAGACTGGAATGCAATGGCACAATCACAGCTCACTGCAGCCTTAACCTCCTGAGCTCAAGTGATCCTCCAGCCTCAGCCTCCTCAGTAGCTGGGACTACAGGTGCATGTCACTATGCCTGGCTAATTTTTTTATTTTTTTAAATTTTTTTGGATAGAGACAAGGTCTTGCTGTGTTGCCCAGGCTAGTCTCAAATTCCTGGGCTCAAGCATTCCTCTCATCTTGGCCTCCCTCATGCCTGTGCATGAGCCAAAAAAAAAAAAATCTAAATAGGCATGCATGACTGGAAGTTCAGGCACATTTTGATTCAGAGGTCAAAAACCTTCAAGTCCTATCACTTGGCTCTGCTCCCTCTTGTTGCCTTTGGTCTCAGGCTCAATTTACCAGTATCTTCTCTATTCCTTGAACTCTAGATTTGATGTCTCCACATCCTGGAGAATGATGGTCTTCTCTATTATTCGTGTGGGGAACAAGAAAGGGCAGGTAGGGAGAGGAGGAAAGAGATTAAAGAGGGGAAAAGGGAATGAAAGGAAGGGAGAGTGTAATCCTGAAATAGTCTTCTTTTCTTCAGACATCCTGGCAGATGGTCTGTTTTGTCCTTCTGACTGTGGTTAGGTTATATGTTTATCCTGAACAATTCATTAAAATGGTAGTATTGACTTATAGCTGATGATGGGGGAAGGATAGTTACTCAAAATACTTTTAAGGTAGTGGTCCCAGAAGGAAAGAGGGGATATTTGAGTTGTAAGCTGCCTATGTCCCCTGCAGTCCAACTGACTGGGTGTAGGGTTGAAATAGAGTAGACTATTTATAATATATTTATAAGAATATACTTATTATGATGATGATATTTATACAAATAGTGGCATTATCCTAATTTCTTAATCTGTCTCCTTTTTTAAAAAAACAAGTTATTTTCCATATTCGAACAGGGAGCCTATTGGTGTATTAATAATAACAGTGATGATATGTCACTATCTAAAACTTATAGTCTAGGAAACTTACCCCTCTATAATCTAGAAGCATGAAAGGGCTTTTGAGAGATTAAAATAGCAGTTACACAAATCTACTCGTGTGGACAGTTACAAATTTCTCTCATTTAATTTTTAATTTGATCTCAATTTTAGCACATTAAGCTGTCTGGTTTCCAAGTTTTCCAGTAGAAGTGAGAAGAAGGAATGTTACGGACAATACAGTGATGGCAATGCAAAGTGATAAACAATAAAGGAAAAGGTTGAAAAATGACCAAGACAGATGCATTTTAATATAGGAGTGTCTTAGTTTGTTTTGTGTTGCTATAACAATACCTGAGACTGGATAATTTATAAAGAAAAGTAGTTTATTTAGCTCATAGTTCTGCAGGCTGCGAAGTTCAAGACCATGGCCCTGGCTTCTGGCAGTGGCTTTCATGCTGTGCTATGACATGGTGGAGGAGGTCAAAGGGGAAGCAGGTGCATGGGAAGAGAGAAAACCAAGGACATCCTGGCTTTATAACAGCACACTTCTGTTCCCTCAAAAATGAATTCAGTCTAAGCAGAGGGAAAGCTCACTCATTACCAAAACAGCGGCATAAAGCCACCACCCAGGAGGGCAGAGCACTTAATATCCAGACACTTCCCACCATGGATTTTGGTGGGGACAAACCAACCATATCCAAACCATAGCAAGGAGTGAGTAGTGCTGTCTACTTCTGCGGCCTCATGGGTTTCACTATATTATAACAGAATAAGAAAATGATTATTGGTGAAAATGAGCCTCAAGAAAAGAATTATTCAGATTATTTTAAAGAAGGTAGGGAATTTAACAGTGTATCTCAAAATAAAAGTCTGTCTTTTAATCCAGCATTTTCATTTCTAAATTTTCCTGCAGAAAAACACAAGTGTGCAAATATGTATACACAAAACTTTGCATAAAAATATTGATTGCAGCCTAAAGGTGCCTGTCTGTAGAAGAATGATGAAAAATACTCTGTATATGCCACTTGAAAAAAATCCGGTGTATCAGCATATTTAAATTTGAAAGGCTAGTCAGTATATCAGTGTAAAAGTCAAGTTGCAAAACTAAATGTACAGTAAGATCTCCTTATTGCTTATTTGAGTGTTTGTATATAATATGTATACAATTTTGTATGTATTCTGAAGAGATCTGGAAGGATATACCTCCAATTGTTTTATGGTGTTTACCCCTATGGAATGGTAGTGGGGGTGATAAGGGAAGAAACTTTTTATTTCATACTCTTGAATTGTTGAAGTCTTTTCAATGATTGCACAGTACTTTTGTCATATAAAACACTTGCTCTTTTAAAAAAATTTTTTTTAGATTCAAGGTGTCCATGTGTAGGTTTGTTACATAGGTTTATTGTATAATGATGAGGTTTGGGCTTCTGTTGAACCCATCACCCAGGTGGTAGGCCTGGTACCCATTGGGTGGTTCTTTAACCCTCACTCCCCATCTTCCCTTTCCCCTTTAGGAGTTCCTCAGTGTTGACTGTTCCCATGTGTGTGCTTGTGTGCACATAGTGTTTAGCTCCTGCTTACTGGGGAGAACATGTGGTATTCAGTTTCTGTTACTGTGATAATTTGCTCAGGATGATGGTCTCTGACTGTATCCATGTTGCCGCAAAGGACATGATTTGGCTGTTCTTTGTGGGTGTATAGTATTCCATAGTGTATATGTATGGCATTTTCCTTATTCAGTCCACTGTTGATGGACACCTAGCTTAGTTTCATGTTTTTACTGTTGTGGATAGTGTCGCAGCAAACATGCACATGCAGGTGTCTTTTTGGTAGAGTGATTTGTGCTTCTTTGGATATATACTAGTAGTAGGATTGCTGAGTTGAATGATAACTCTATTTTTAGTTCTTTGAGAAATCTCCAAACTGCTTTCCACAGGGTTTTAGCTAGCTTACATTCCCAGCAACAGTGTATGAGTTTCCTTTTCACTGCAACCTTGCCAACATCTGTTTGGTTTTTTTTGACTTTTTAATAAAAGCCATTCTTACTAGTGTGAGGTGGTATCTCCTAATGATTTTGATTTGCATTTCTCTGATGATTAGTGATGTTGAACATTTTTTCATGTTTTTGGCCACCTTTATGTCTTCCTTTGAAAGGTAAACACTTATTCTTAATCAAAGAAGATGGTGCACTTCAGAGAATCCTATCACAAATTATAAAATACAAGTTGAATATTTGTAAGATAGACTTCTTGTAATATTTAACTGTCCAGGATGACTCAGACCTCAAAGATTTCAGCTAGATTACTCTAGCTAAGTTTTCACTAGAGTAACTGGACCCATCAAATCAAATGGCAGATTTGTTGGCCTTTCTGTCTATTCTGAGATGATAATCATCATTACAGTTTTCACTTACATGCAGAAAAGGAATTTGAGTATCACTTCATTGAAGCAAAGATGGGTAGAATTACATGACATGGAAACAAGAATTTTGTATTAAGAAAGTGGGTTTTATTATGCACAGATGCTTTAAAGCAGCTATTTGCGTCTTTTAAGGAGTATAGTACACTGAAGAAATTTGGCACTTTTCCATTCTGGCGATGACTCTCAATGTTAGTGACTCTCACAAGGGCAAAACTGTTGGATAGTTGGGGTATGAGGAATTAGGAAGAGTCTGGAGGAGGAATGTTTAATTTGAAACTATCTACTCTTTCCCCTCCCCCTGCATTGGGATTTACTGCTTGGGACCCAATACTTAGTAAATGATTGGATTATCAGCTGTTGTTTTTGTGTTTGTGTGCTGTATGTGTTTTGTCCAAAGGGAACAGATTTGTCTTGCTTATTTCCTCTTCCTTAATGGGAAATTCTTTTGGTTAACTCCCCTATTTTTTGCTACTGCAGGGGACACTTTCTTTCATAGTGAGGCAGCACTTTTTTTCCTCCTAAATAATGACTGTGTTAAGGGCGTCAGATATTTACATTTTAAATGTATTGCAAGAATAAAAATTTTCCATTAGTCTTTGATATCCCCAGATTGTTTTCTTCTTTTATCTTCTGGTCTTGTGTTTTGATGACTTTGGTTTAACTTTATTTAGGTGTTTGGTATTGGTTTGGAAATGGGAATAAATAGAAAATAAGGCATCTAATCAGGTTTGAAGACAGTTATAGACAATTGAATTTTGTCTTGATGCTAAGTGTTCACTTATTTGATTTTTGATTGATGCTAAATGATGACTTCAAATCATCTGGTGGAATGTGTTTTGTCTGCAAAGATATAAACATCTGAAATTGGCCATTCTTATTAATAATAGTATAATAATAATAGTCTTTGTATAACAGATATTAATAACTACCATTTCTAAGTAAAAAAAAGAAGCCCTATTTATATGATAGGTGTGTATCACTTTATTTTTTTTTTCTAGTAAAGGAATTATAGTATTAAGTTCTATCCCAGAAACATTACTATATGAAATAACACACCCCAGTCTCTACCCCAGAGTATACACATTTTTGATTCAGATGTGGCAGTGTAGTATATTGGAAGAAGTAGACTGGAAGAAAGGAGCCTACACACTACTCTTACCTTAGCCAGAGCAGAAATCTCTCAGAATTACTTTTGGCCGGAAACTATATTATATGCATTTTTGTACCCATGCCAAGCCATTTTGTTTGCCCATTCATCTGTTAATGCACCTTTTGGCTATTGTGAATAATGCTGTCAAGAACTTGGGGAATAAATACCTGTTTGAGTTCCTGCTTTCAGTTTCTTTGGGTATATACATAGACGAGAAATTGCTGGATCATATAGTAATTCTGTGATCTTTTTTGGGGGGGTAAGAATTGCCATACTGTTTTTCACAGTGGCTGAAAGCTTTTACAGTCTCACCAGCAGTGCACAAAGGTTCCAATT